GGGGGGATGGAGGGAGCGGGAATATTGGCCGGAGCGATTTTAATTGAGCGGCGCGGGGGAGTATTTTTAGTAACACCTTCCGTGCGGGAGTAGCCAGGCTCTTCTTGCGGGCGTTGGGCACCGCTGTCCTGCGGTGCTGCTTCCAGCGCGTCCCTGAGATGTCGTGGGAAAGGCTTTATTTATCGCTCCTACAGTAAGAGGAAGCCTCTCGCAGAGAGGGGGCCCTAGGAAGAATTTGTGCAGCCGCGATGCTAACAGCATCTTCGGGGGTTGATTATGCAGCCGGCTAAAATAAAGGTAGCGGAGCGCTTTGGAGTTTCGTTTTGGCTCTGGGGGAAGTTAAAGCTCAAATTAGCAGTGCCTGGCATTTCGCTGCCTGACTTTTCCTTTAAGGGACAGCAGAAAGTCATTCACTTCAGCACCTGTATAAGGACCGCTAGCCTCAATCTCCATTGCTCAGAAACAAACTTACTGGCAGATACTACTTTTTCTTTACATTTATTGATTTCCAACCTCATGACTGTCCCAGTGAACTGCAGGGAAGAATATTCGCTGAAAATTGAATTCCTAAAATTGGGAAAAATCACATTAAATGCATCAGGATGAGATACTCACTAAGGAGGTAACAACTGTGATGCTTTCAATGCATGCCCCTTCTTGTGCTTTATTAGCCCAGTTCATCTATATTGATTACATCAAGGCTGTCTGTGTGGTTGTAGTTGGGCGTGCATTTAAACAAGTTGCTGAACTGGGGCCTTACGGTATACACATTTGGGTCCTCCGAAGGGGAGGACTGTTCTGAGCATGGTCTGTGGTCAGTGAGATAGTTAATAGTAGTGAAATGTTGCCAACTGCCCGATAGAGTGGAATTGCGCCGATTGTTTTCTGCCTTTCCTGATATGCTGCAGAGGAATAGCAGAGGGCAAAGGGTTTAGAGGGTTCTTTTAGGTGCTTTATTACATAAACCCGATGTCAAATGCGCAAGATTCTTTGTAGTGTTATAAATAATAAGATAAAACATAAGGCGAGATTAAGGACCCTTTTGTCTTCGCTTTCTTGAATATATTGTGGGGAAGGGTTTTTTCCCAGCAGTACCTTCAGTATCATTAGAGTTCAGTTTGTAGGTACCTTCCGTACACTTCAGCCCTTAGAAGAACTGGAATTGTAGCAGTGATTAAAAAAAGATATAGTCCCTCCAGGAATGTTATCCTTGAGGAATTATTGATCTGTCTTTATATACATACATGCACGTATAAATATATATGTGTGTGTGTATATGTATACACATGTATAAATATATTTTTAACATTTCATCCTTTCTCTTAAGTCTGTAAGAGGGCATAGGGCATGGTTTGATTGGTAGCTGTCTTTCTGCAAGCTTATTTTTTGGCTTGGTTGTTTTTTCCATGCTTGAAATATATCAGGTATCATTTGCAAAGCTCTATTTCTTGTTTTTTAGCTACTCATAAGTGCCGACCTTGATCTTATATGTATCAAATCAGCTGAAAAATCCCCAAACACTTTCTAAACTGAATGGAAATCAAATTACCTGTCCTGGAAACCCAGCTACCTCTGCGGTGAAACATACCAAGGAGCAAAAGGGGTACAGTTATGTGTATATGGGGCATAAAGTTGTATCAAAGAAGAATTTGCCCCTGTGGCGGATGTGGCAGAAGGATGGGAGTGCCAGGTTATGGTCTCTTCTGGTAGGTTGTGTGGAACGTGTTGGCATCCTGCATTCATGAAACCAAAGGTGTCCAAAGGCACCTTTGCTTCCAGAGAGGCGTTTCACACCTTGTCACTATTGCAGTGTAGCTTTGGCAGGCGGCTCGGCTTGCCTCCTGATCGTTGGTCCATCTTCCTGGAGCTGTGGGTTTCCTGCCCAAGGGCTCGTAGGAGAAGACATTCAAAGTCTACAGCTTCCCATTGGGTGATATAGTTTGGAGACCCAGGCCCTTCCTCCAGGGAGTCTGCTCTGTGCATGAAGGGTGCATGTCAAAAAGGCCTTGAAGGAGTAAGAGAGGGCAAAGCAGACTCATCTCTGCTTGAAGTGCCAAACAGGGTTAAAGGGGATAGGGTATGGGGGGGGGATAATGAGATAAGACCAAGGGAGGATGCGTCTCTGGCTGGTTGTTCTTCTCAAAGATATTGCTGATGCATTTTTCAGGAGGGGGTCAAGGTAGGAGCCTGAAGTTCAGAGACCTGAACACACTGTTGTGTGTCTGAGCTGGAAACAGTGACTTTCCCCAAACTATGTGGGACTTCACCACTGGATTCTCATACAATGGACTCATAACCATACAGAAAGACCTAAAATTGCATCCTCCGAGCTCCTTTGAAGCATTGTAAGACCATTGGCCTCACAAGGCTTTGGTTCAAGTCAGTTTGAGCCGTTAATGCCAGGGGTGTAGGACCTGCCTTGGAGCAAAAACAGCCTATCCTTTGAGGTTTGCAGCTCATGGTGGCTCCTTGGTGATATCTTTGGAGCCTTGTTGGGGGATGTTACTGCTGTCCTGACTGCAGAGAAATGTCCACTGGGAAATGACCAGGATGTAAAGTGAGGCAAACACGGACATAAGGGTGGGCGTGAGGGAATGACACATGGTGGACTCACAGCTCTGCAGGGACAGGTGTGACATTGCCGTCAACGCAGACTGACAGGTCTCTTCCTGGGATGTCCTAGTGCCGTGGGACGTGCTGGAGCATGAAGAGTGTCAAGGACCAGCCAGGACAGCCAACAGGCCTGGTGTCCTGGTTTTGGCTGGGATAGAGTTAATTTTCTTCCTAGTAGCTGGTACAGTGCTGTGTTTTGGATTTAGCATGAGAATAACGTGATAACACACTGATGGTTTAGTTGTTGCTAAGCAGTGCTTATACTAAGTCAAGGACTCTTCAGCTTCCCATCCTCTGCCAGCGAGGAGGTGCACAAGAAGCTGGGAGGGGGCACAGCCAGGACAGCTGACCCAAACTGGCCAAAGGGATATTCCATACCATATGACGTCATGATCAGTGTAGAAACTGGGGGGAGTTGGCCGGGGGGCAGCGATCGCTGTTCAGGGACTGACGGGGCATTGGTCGGCGGGTGGTGAGTGGTTGCATCACTTGTGGGGTTTTTTGTTTGTTTTTTTTGTTGGTTTCTCTCTCCCTCTTGTTTTATTTTCCATTACAATTTATTATTATTATTATTATTATTAATTTTTATTATTCTATTATTTCAACACCAGGGCGGGGAGGGGAGGGTGAGCGAGTGGCTGTGTGGTGCTTAATTGCTGACCGGGGTTAAAACACGGCACCTGGAAAGAGCAATAGCAGCGTTTATTGGGTCCAACGGAGAGCCAGTGTGGTGAGGTGGGAGAGGCAGCCAGCTTCTCTGGGAAATGCTGGAGGATGAGTGTTGGGCTTGCCAGAGACTTTCCAGTGAAATATTAATGCTGTAAATTTTCAGTTCATTCAAAATGTCTACAAGACCGTGCCAGTTCTGGTGGTGCTTTCCTCGGTGAAGGTTTTCTGCATCCCAGGCAGAGATTCTTCCCAATCTCAAAGTGAGGAATCACTCCAACTCCTTGGAGATATCCAGTAGCCTGTGGATGATTTTCTTTCTAGTAATATGGGAAGCTCAAGGTAAAAATCCTGAGCTGAGCAGGGTCTCCGAGATGGGCTTCTCTCCAGAGCTGCATCTAGTAGCTGGGCTGTTGGAGGGCCTGCCTGTGGTTGTCTTGCAGGAGAGCTGGTCTTCCTTGTAGAGACAGTTAAACAGGCATCGAAGCAGGGAGCTGAACCTGGATCTCCTGTAGCCTCTCACCCACGCTTTCTTGGGCAAGACCTGTCTCAGCCGTGAAGGTCTGGTGACTCCATGGACAGGTTTAGACCTTTGGCCCGTCTGCAGGTTTGATGGGGTTGGAAGTTGGCTCCTTGGGTCTCCCGTGGCTGTAGCCATCACTGCGTGCCTGGGGCTGGCAGCCATTTCAGAGATGTTGTGTGCTAACCAGGCGCTGTGTAACAGAGGTACAGCGCCCAGGGCCTGGAGCCAGCAGGAACTTCTTCATTATTTAATGGTTTGCTCTTGTTTGTAACACCAAATCTTTGTCCCTGTCACCATTCTTGTTGACTTCCAAAGGGTATGAATTTGGCACTTCATTCACATAAATTTCTTTATTTTTTCCTGCTCCTACTTAAAATAGCAGCAGATCAATATATTGAATTTATGTGGCTTATTTGATCCTAAAAGTCACTGTCCATTTCTAAGTGGAGTTGTGGGCACTGGAAGCCACAACCTGACCTTTCCTACAAAAGAAAACATAGCAAATGAGTTACAGTGCAGTTCATGGATGTCAGATCTCAACTGTAAATCATGTCTTTTTTGAACAACACTGATGCATATTTATGGGAGCGATCTTCGTTTTGAAGGCATAGATTAAGTGCCCTGCAGTGCAAAATACCTAAACATGTTCATTACTCTCACCCTTGGTATAGATACTACTATCATCTTCCTTGGAGGATAATGGAGGAGAACAATATGAGGAGGAATATATGGAAAAATGTAAACTGGCCTGGCAGGATCTCAGAGAAAATCATATGTCTTAATTAACTCAATTTTTTGCATCATGCACTTATCCATAATTTAATGATATGACTCCTACTTTCTTAAAAATTCTTTTTCATTCTCAAGCACCCTTTTCACAGATCTATTTAAAAACGCACCTGCCAACCATATGCTTGAAAAAAGGCTCCAGCAGTGTAGACAGGAAATTCCAAATTCTTACCACAAATTAAATGTTGCCTGGTAATTACCAGGGACAAGAAGAGTATGCTTGATGCAGTTATAGGATGATTAGTGAGTTTGGCAATAAATTTTGCTTCGCCAGTCTGTCTGTCATTCCCCTCGATGTTCTAGCCCTCTGTTCCTGGCTAAGTCGTAATTTCACTCTCTAGGTTATAATGCTGAACACAATATATAGTATTGAAGTTTATAATAAGTGGCCCTCCAAGGTGCATGGCTGAATTCCTGCCTGCTCCAAAGGGCAGTGGGACTGGACAATCCTCCCGCAGTTACATCCCGTATCTCTAAACCACTTACAGTGTCTCCCTCCTGTTTTGAAAGTAAGAAAAGGCTATCAGGGCAATCAGAAAAAAATACTAAGATCTGAACGATTTCCCCTCTTTCCAAGGCGTTTGAAAGCCATTGTTGGACCTGCCACGTCACCAGGTTGAATGTCGTCTCTGTTTCCTTGCAGGCGTCTTTCCCAGGGAACCTGCACTTAGTGATGGTTCTTCGTCCCACGGGGTTTTTCCAGCGCACCTTCACTGACATTGGATTTCGGTTCAGTCAGGAGGATTTTCTACTCAAGTTACCGGTACGAGCGTGCAGAGGTGTTGTGCCTGTGCGTGATCGGAGGCTGCCCACGCACCTCGGGCTGGGAGGGTGACAGTGTCGCACCCTGCAGGCACCTATGTGAAGAGTAACTGGAGTGTCTCTGCCAGTAATGCCCTATTTCCACCAAATTTCTCTCCACCAAATCTCTCCTGTAGCATTTTTCATCTCCCTTGTGCACAGTTTGCTCCCCACAGAGCATGTCCACGGTAGTGGGTGGTGGGCTTCTCAGCCTGTCCTCATCCCCCATGTAGGCTGCATGCCTCTCTGGAGGATAAAACCATGCTCAGGAATTTGTTTGTCTGAAAAGTCGAAAGACATGTCTAGCGAAGCTTTTGCTATGAATTCCACCCATCATCGCCATTTTCATCTCAGTGTGAACTCCATACTAACATCATGTTGGTATTTGTTTCTATCATAGCAACTGAAATGGTTTTATATTCTCAAGTCAAAGTTTCCAAGACTTCTAAAGCCACCTTGATTATAGGACATAATGAGAATAATTAAGAGAAGAAAAGTACATTTATGGAATCTAAGGTTGACGCAATTACAAACCCACAAAACAAACCAATGTTTTCCTTTAGGAAATAATATGATTTTCACGAACTTTACGGTTTTCACTCTAAAATGATTGTCATTTGCACAGTTTTGAAAATTCATGACTTATCCCAGGGCAGATCAAGACACACAAAAACTCATGAGTATATATTTGTGTGAAATTGGCCAATGCTTCATAACTTATTAAAATGTATGTATTTTTTCCAGATTACTGGTCATCCCTTGCAAAAACCTGCATTACTTTTGCTTTCAGCTCTGTTCTGCAGTCAGATGCTGCAGCATCTCCCTGTGCTTTGCATTTGAGGAAGCAAGCACCTGGGAGATCAGGGTTGGCTTACAAAAATGTTCAAATACATCAAAGAAAAGCCATGGTAAGCCATAAGTGTAAGAAGAAAGCCATGCTGTGGAACAATATTTAGAGCAAACCCAATTTTTAGGCACATAAAAGATTTGCAGGCTTGATCTGTGTATGAGTTGGGTAGAAGTGATGATCAACCAACTAACGGTGTTGCCTTGTTTGTAGGTTGTTATGCTGAGCTCAGTTAGTGACCTGCTGACATACATTGATGAGCAGCAATTAACCCCGGAGTTTGGAGGCACCCTGGAGTACTGCCACAGCGAGTGGGTCGTCTTCAGGACTGTACGTACTGGGGCTGAGCACTGGGCTCATGGGTGTTTGGGATCAATCGAGGAAGGTTTTCTGTAAGGCAATGAGCAATGGGTAGCTGAAAGCAACCCCTGAGGCCAACTACATTTCCTTGATCAGATTTGCAAAGGAGTCAAGTGCCGTTAGGTACTTGATGGGTTTATAAGGGAATTGAATGATTAACTCCCTCAGGCTCCTTTTGAAACTGCTCCCGAAAGATCTGTCTTCTTAAGTCTTTATTAAAATTCCCTTAATAGTAGATACAAAATAGGCTTTTTTTTAATAATGGTTGCTTCGTGTGACTAATATCACAAATGTGTTTGGGAACCGGGGCAATGAGACTGCTCTCTGCATACTGACTCAATGCAGAGAATTCAGAAAACTTCCTGTTCTTTTTTTTTCTTTGCAAGAATTTTCCTTTAATATTGCCAGGAATCAGGCATTTAATTCCCTGAGCTGTGCCTTGCCGTGTGTTTCTATGCTTCCTCTACACTCTTAGTTTTCACTGGGACTGTGTCTCCCAGATTAATGGCAGGTTGGATTGCCAGTTACCTTCCCAACAAATCAAAGCACTAATGAAAAACGTACCAGACATCCTAGTGCCCCTTGTCCTGCAACATCATCCACACCAGCAGATGTGGAGCTCAGTATAAAGACAAAAGCACAAGACATTGTAGCTGGCATAACTCAAGCTATTGTTTGTGCCATTAACTTTGTGCCAGTTTACACTGATGCGCTGCCAAATTAATGAATTTTTAAAATTTTTAGCTCATTAGTTTTGTTCTTTTGCATGATGTGTGAAAGCGATAATGGCATAACTCTCACACTTGGAGGCAAAAATGACAAAATGAATGACAGAAAATGTTAGGGTTAATCTAAGAAAAGGATGAGTTTCTAGACCATAGCTGCATATGGTAGACACGTGTCCATATGAAAAACCTCTCTCAAAATGCCCTTGTAGTGTGCTCGTAAAACATTTCCTGAAATTTCCATGGAAAATATGTGCTGTTTAAAGAAAATATAAACGCGATCTGTTACATTTGAGTTTATTACCCCGTTCCCAAGAGCAGAGCTGGAGCTCTTCATGTGTTCTCCAGGGGACAAGGTTTCAAGCCTCAGCAAGGCTGTCCCCTCTGCTTTTGCGGTGATTCGCTGCCAGCTGAGCAGGAGACCAGCAGCTCCTTGCTGACCCAATCACCCGGTCGCAGTCCAGGCTGTGAGCGGCTTCACGTTCTTCCCCTCCTGCAACCAGTGGGAAGATCAGAGCAAAGAGCAGGGCCGGGAGAGCCCCGCCTCACCCCGTGGTGTGGGAGCCATCTGGCGTCCAGAGCTCCCAGTGGCTGTCTGGGATGTGCCGGGGAGTTACCTGCAGCCCTCGCTTCTATCCCACTGTCTCCAGTTTGCCTCCGGCACGCTGCTTAGCTCCCTCCTTTGTCCTCTTGGTGAAGCTGTGGATGAGGTGGCCGTGGTGCCAGACTGCCTTGTAACCCGCCATTTGGGCTTGCAAAGCTGGGAACATCCATCACCAAGAAGCCAAACACATCTCCAAAGCCTTACTGCCTGGAGGTGGTTCGCAGTGTGGGTTAACCAGAGGAGAAGGAAGATAGAAGAGGAATTACAGGAATATGTGAGATGGATCTTATGGTGGCTTCTGCTATAGACCTCCAATATGTGCTAGGAAAAATCTCAGAGTGCACAAGAACAGGCAGCAGAAAAGAAAGCATGAGGTATCTCTGCCCAATACTACCCTTATTTAAGTCCCTGTTGTCAATGCAAACTGCACTAAAAGCCAACAGGCGGCCACTAGCTAATGCACCACAGCACACATCAGCTCCGTCTGCAGTGGACGTCCCACCCACCTCTCTCAGAGCAAGCTGTTGGGCTCCCCTGCAGATCTCAGCCTTGGCTCTTCATGCACTCTTAATGAGCTGTAAGAATATCCTGAATCCCAAGCTGATTGCAATTATCGTCTCCCACCAGGCAATAGAGAGTTTTGCACTAACCGTGAAGGAAATTGCACAGATGTTACAATCCTTTGGCACGGAGCTAGCAGAGACGGAGCTACCGGACGACATGTATTCAATCGAGCGCATCCTGGCCCTGCGCACGGAAAAGTACTACCAGCTGAAGGTATGTCTCATCAGGAGCTCCGCTGTGTGTTTCCAGCCCCTGTTTACACAGCAAGATGGGATTTCTGGGGTTTGACTGCCTGTTTGTTTGGTGCCCACTCCTTCTTCCCTCCCATGCATGTGTACGTGTTGACAGACAAAATAAAACACAGCATGACTATTTCTGTATGTTACCCTTACATTTGCCATCCACTCAAGCAAATTACCCTGCCAGCATCCAGCAAACTCTCTCAACTGCTGCCTCCTTACTGGCTGCAGAAGTTGGTGTCTATAGTGTGCTCCTCCCGTGGGCTTGGCACGTCTCGCTCGCAGGAGGGTGGGTGGGAGGCTTCATCACCTGTGGGTTCGTACCCCCGGTGGGGTTCCCTCCGCTTCACCCCCATGGCTGGAGGAAGCTGCATGCAGAGATCATCAGTGGGTCTGGAGGGATGGTTTGTCCCCAGGTCCCTCCGCCTGATGGGGCTTCCCCGGGGGGACTTGGGGAACTGTGCTGGAGAGCACTCGAGATGAAGATTTCTTGTGAGCGTGTGGTACAGAGCATTCATGATGTGATTCCTGTCTTCATGTGGGGCTTCATGCTTCATCTTAAAGAACATTTGTGTCTTCAATATTTTAGGATTTTTTTCCAACTATTTGTGATTACAATTATTTTAGGAGTTAGCGGAAGCTTTAGTGCAGCCAGCTGCTGCTATATCAAGCTGTTGTCTTTGCTGCTGCTGCATCTTTCTGGGGACAGCACAGGCCTGTCCCCAAACCCTCACTTAGAAACGGTTCCCATGTTAACAGCCGTGCTGTGCGGCTGAAGAATGAGCTCCTTTGCGTTATGTGAATGACAGAAAATGTTAGGGTTAATCTAAGAAAAGGATGAGTTTCTAGACCATAGCTGCATATGGTAGACATGTGTCCATATGAAAAACCTCTCTCAAAATGCCCTTGTAGTGTGCTCGTAAAACATTTCCTGAAATTTCCATGGAAAATATGTGCTGTTTAAAGAAAATATAAACGCGATCTGTTACATTTGAGTTTATTACCCCGTTCCCAAGAGCAGAGCTGGAGCTCTTCATGTGTTCTCCAGGGGACAAGGTTTCAAGCCTCAGCAAGGCTGTCCCCTCTGCTTTTGCGGTGATTCGCTGCCAGCTGAGCAGGAGACCAGCAGCTCCTTGCTGACCCAATCACCCGGTCGCAGTCCAGGCTGTGAGCGGCTTCACGTTCTTCCCCTCCTGCAACCAGTGGGAAGGTCAGAGCAAAGAGCAGGGCCGGGAGAGCCCCGCCTCACCCCGTTGGGAAGATCAGAGCAAAGAGCAGGGCCGGGAGAGCCCCGCCTCACCCCGTGGTGTGGGAGCCGTCTGGCGACCAGAGCTCCCAGTGGCTGTCTGGGATGTGCCGGGGAGGTACCAGCAGCACTCGCTTCTATCCCACTGTCTCCAGTTTGCCTCCGGCACGCTGCTTAGCTCCCTCCTTTGTCCTCTTGGTGAAGCTGTGGATGAGGTGGCCGTGGTGCCAGACTGCCTTGTAACCCGCCATTTGGGCTTGGAAAGCTGGGAACATCCATCACCAAGAAGCCAAACACATCTCCAAAGCCTTACTGCCTGGAGGTGGTTCGCAGTGTGGGTTAACCAGAGGAGAAGGAAGATAGAAGAGGAATTACAGGAATATGTGAGATGGATCTTATGGTGGCTTCTGCTATAGACCTCCAATATGTGCTAGGAAAAATCTCAGAGTGCACAAGAACAGGCAGCAGAAAAGAAAGCATGAGGTATCTCTGCCCAATACTACCCTTATTTAAGTCCCTGTTGTCAATGCAAACTGCACTAAAAGCCAACAGGCGGCCACTAGCTAATGCACCACAGCACGCATCAGCTCCGTCTGCAGTGGACGTCCCACCCACCTCTCTCAGAGCAAGCTGTTGGGCTCCCCTGCAGATCTCAGCCTTGGCTCTTCATGCACTCTTAATGAGCTGTAAGAATATCCTGAATCCCAAGCTGATTGCAATTATCGTCTCCCACCAGGCAATAGAGAGTTTTGCACTAACCGTGAAGGAAATTGCACAGATGTTACAATCCTTTGGCACGGAGCTAGCAGAGACGGAGCTACCGGACGACATGTATTCAATCGAGCGCATCCTGGCCCTGCGCACGGAAAAGTACTACCAGCTGAAGGTATGTCTCATCAGGAGCTCCGCTGTGTGTTTCCAGCCCCTGTTTACACAGCAAGATGGGATTTCTGGGGTTTGACTGCCTGTTTGTTTGGTGCCCACTCCTTCTTCCCTCCCATGCATGTGTACGTGTTGACAGACAAAATAAAACACAGCATGACTATTTCTGTATGTTACCCTTACATTTGCCATCCACTCAAGCAAATTACCCTGCCAGCATCCAGCAAACTCTCTCAACTGCTGCCTCCTTACTGGCTGCAGAAGTTGGTGTCTATAGTGTGCTCCTCCCGTGGGCTTGGCACGTCTCGCTCGCAGGAGGGTGGGTGGGAGGCTTCATCACCTGTGGGTTCGTACCCCCAGTGGGGTTCCCTCCTCTTTACCCCCATGGCTGGAGGAAGCTGCATGCAGAGATCATCAGTGGGTCTGGAGGGATGGTTTGTCCCCAGGTCCCTCCGCCTGATGGGGCTTCCCCGGGGGGACTTGGGGAACTGTGCTGGAGAGCACTCGAGATGAAGATTTCTTGTGAGCGTGTGGTACAGAGCATTCATGATGTGATTCCTGTCTTCATGTGGGGCTTCATGCTTCATCTTAAAGAACATTTGTGTCTTCAATATTTTAGGATTTTTTTCCAACTATTTGTGATTACAATTATTTTAGGAGTTAGCGGAAGCTTTAGTGCAGCCAGCTGCTGCTATATCAAGCTGTTGTCTTTGCTGCTGCTGCATCTTTCTGGGGACAGCACAGGCCTGTCCCCAAACCCTCACTTAGAAACGGTTCCCATGTTAACAGCCGTGCTGTGCGGCTGAAGAATGAGCTCCTTTGCGTTATGACAGGATTCGTTTACATAAGTCCAAGAAGTGTATCTATTTTCATTTATGATCATCTGTCATTCACGGGACAGTGAGTTCGCAGAAGGCTGCCTGTACGAAATAGGCAAAATGACATCCGAAGTGTGCTGTGTGTAGGCATAGATGTATGTGCGTATGTATAGGAAGTTTCATTATAGATACTGCCAATAGTCCTTTACTTGTTCTTTGAAAATGAAGAGAGCTGTAGTACAAAACAGCAGCTACAGACATTGCAGTATGACTTACTGACTTAAACTTCATGCTTAGGACTATAGCCAAAGTGTGGGGGGCAAATATGGGCTACACAATGTAGTCCTGTCTATAAACGAGTCAGGAATACACACTTTCCTCTGTGGAGAAATAAAACACATCATGTGTTTTCATTTGCATATAAAGCACAGCAGCACTCAGTACAAAGCATCTGTTGCTTTTAATGCCTCGTCTATTAATTTCAAATATCAAAACCACTCGTTGGCTTTTGACTGAAATGAAGTCCGTTGGCTTTTTTCTTTTGTTCCTTCTAAGACTATGAGACATGAAAGCGGATGAGAAACTGTGCACAGATTGTGGTGACAGCAAGACATGGGATCCTTGTCTCTCTCATGACAACCCCAAGATTGGTACAGCTGATTCCCGAATTCAAATAATGAGTCGATCAGAATAATTTATGTAGCTGTGATACTGAACAGAAGCTGGTTGCAAACACAATGAAAAAAATGACAAAAATTAATTAAGCAGAGTAACTAAGAAATTAACCTCTTTGATATACCGAATGGGAAAAAAATCAAGTTAACACCTGTTTGACAGTCGGGCTACTTTGTTGTACGTATAATGAAAGGCTTTGAATCAAAAGGGGAATGCAGGGCTCTGGAGAGTGAGATGTGAGAGGATGAACGAACAGCCACCTGCGGTCTAAAGCATGCTGCATAATTCCTCTTCCCTTTTGAGCCTCCTGGATGTGGCACTATCAAAAGGAGACAGGGTTTTTGCCTTGCGGTCATCTTCCGTGATGCTTTGGTGATAGGGATGCAAACTGGCAGCAGACACTTTGTGTGTGGGAGAGGAGAAGCTCCTGTGGCCGTGTCCTGCTCCTGGGCTGCTGCCCTGAAGATGCTGTTATGTTTAGGTTGCTGTGAGCTATCTGGGGCAGGCAGACGTTTAAGCAAGTCTGTGCTTTCTGAATCCTCTCCCTAAAGTGGTTTTGCCATTGTTTCTCTTGCAATAGAAATCTGGCCATCTCCTAGGACGGGCTTTTATTCCTCCAAGAGTTGGCTCTCTAGCAAAGCCATGCACAGGTCTCTCCTTCGCAGCTTCTTCCAACTCAGTTCATTAGTCACACCAGGTCCTTCTCACCTTTATTTTTCTGAAAATAATTGACTAAATGCACCTGTTTGCTTTGGGGCTGAGCCCAACACAGCACAAAGCACCTCAGCTGATGTTAATGAACACACCAAGTGTTTAAATTTTCCTTAAGTGGAGGTCACATTGAAAGTGCTGACTTGCCTCTATACGTAAAGGCTCTAGTAAGTGGTGCCATGTAGTCTCAGTCCCAGCTTTGTCCCACTATGGGATGCTCTTCCTACAGCCTCCTGTGATGACCTTGATGGAGAAGCACGGCCTCCAAGCTGCAGAAATACTTGCTTGAATACATGAACTTGTAGATAGATATCTAATACAAACCCACCCGCTCCCCAGGAGAGACCTGTGGTTGTGCTGTCTTCCTGCCCCTTGAATCATTGTGTGGCCTGATGTTTTCACACATGCCAGTTTCCACCCAGCCTGGCGACCAGTCCATGGTTCAGCCTCCTCCAGCTCCGGGGGCTAACCCCACGTTAAGGGGGCTAAAACATCTGCTGGGAATCCTTTGGACTGATGGATGCCGGTGCTTCATTTCATACAGGGAAACTAAGGCAGGAAAAGAACGAAATGACTTATCCTTACCTCACAAAAAGTAGCAAAAATCAGAAATTATACACGAGGATATTACAGCAGTCACAAAAGAGGGAAACTTGCTTTTGAGCAGTTTTGAAGAGCCTGACTCCAGGGAATGCGGTCAGGACCAACACAGCGAGAGGCCAGGGGACTGGGAGACTGTGAATCGGTGAGTGCACTATGTTCCTAATTTGCCTGATTTTTTGAGTGGAAGCACTCAAGCGTAGATGTGTTGTTTAGGTCACCTATCAAACAAGTAAAGACAAAGATACCAGCGTTTTGCTCCAGACTCATCAAATTGCTGGGTGAGTTCTGTCAAACGACTTTGACCTGCTCTGATTTTTTTTCCCCCACTGAACGATGAGGCTGTGGAGCAGATGCAGGGTTCTCCCATGGCAGGCTCACAGGTAATATTCAGATAAATGGAGATAGCAACAACTGCTTCACACAGGTGCTGTCATCTGCAGCAGTGATTTCATTAAATTTCTCTCTGAGATCTTCGCAAGTCATATATACATGTCTGTTGACTTCTCCTGAGAGCTTGGGTCCAGAAGACCTGAATAGGTGGTCTCTAGGGCTTGTCCATCTCTGCTTGTCCTCTATTTGCAAATTGTTCCAATCCTGCCCTTTTTCTGTGCTCCAGGTTACTTGGTCAGCTGCATGAGATGGAGACTGCTTTTGATGGCTTCTGGGAAAAACATCAGTTAAAAATGGAGCAATATTTACAATTGTGGAAGTTTGAGCAAAGTTTTCAAGAGGTATGACCAGATGCACTTCTGTTGGCAGAAGGAAGAGTTGGAGACAAAAAGGAGGGGAGAGGAGAGAAGATTTTATGCTTTTTATTTTGAGAGTGTTTAATTTATGCTGCTGTTCTTTGACTCTGGCTGGTCTAGCTAGCTGGGGGAGACCACTGTGCTTCCTCATTCAGAGCTAATTTAGGTATCACTGCCCTGCAGTCGCATAGATTTTGCTGACAGAAGCATCTTTGAATTTAGAAATCAGTTCCTGGACACTGGTTTTATTATTGGATTTAGCAGTCAGCTAAAGTGTGATTAATTTTGTTCTGAGAATGATTTTCCGCCTGTGCTTTGTATCCTTTTGCAGCAGTCTTCTTCTTTGTGTCTAGGTCAAGAATGCCATTGAATTTTTAATGGGTCAGCAAGTGGAGCTGCCTGACACTGGCGACAGTGTCCCCCAAGTAAAACAGAGGCTCAAGGACTTGGGTCATTTCGATGGTATGGCTCAGGTGAGATAATCTTTCACAGGAAGAGGCACTAATGTGACACAAGAGGCACATTCTGTATTTGTGGTAGGAGGTGTTTTCTGAAATTACCTGGTTCTGGTGTAATTCGTTGGAAAGTGGCTGCACAAAAGGATTGATTTCACGTCTTTGCTCTGCGCAGCAATGCTGTGATCACTCTGAAAGCCAGCAACAGGGTATTTAATTATCATAGTTAAAATAAATTGCTGAGCCACCATGAAAATCCAGAACAGATAAATGTCTGAACATAGGGGAGGCGTGGGAGTTAATGAGCTGGAAGAAGAATTATTTATATGTTAAGTGCTTTAGCAGTGCTAATAGGCAGAGACTTACCAGGCACATGGAGAGGCAAAAAAGTTGCTATCTTGACGTGTCTGTGATTTGAACATAACATATGGATGAAGACTAAGAGATGTAGGGGAAAGAAGAGTGAAGGGAGATGATTCACAGGAGCCCAACTGAGGATGTGACTTCTGTAAAGGGATGTGCTTGGCAAGTGGGCCAGGGTCAGTGGAGAAATCCTGAGGGATCTGGACACAACCCCCAGAGGCTTCTTTGAAAATAAGAGTCCTAGGAGAAAGGTATAAGGCTTTTTGGCCATTTGGAAGAATGTTTGTGGAGAGAGGGAGGAGGAACAAAAGGCCATGCAGACAGGATGCAACAGGGAAGCGGTCCCAGCAGAAAGCCAGCCCTGGAGAAGACATAACCATTATGCTGACCAAGACGTGCAGACAAGATAGCATGTTCTTTGCATCAAGCTTTGCTGCAAAGAGCCTGGTTTATTTTCACCATAAGCCTTAACTGCTCGAATTCCCTTTCATGCTTATGAGCGTAGTGTGCCTAAACTGGACATCAGCTGTGGTTTTTTTAGAGTGCAGTTCCTGGAGACGGCAGCAATACATTGCCGGCAGCCATTCACAGCATTGCTAGTTTGGTGAAATACTGTTTTCTTCTTCATGCTCCTTTTGGATAGCAAAATTTTTTTTTCCCCAATGATGGGTGCCATTTTATCCTGCGTAAGCCACCCATTCTGGCTACTCGTAATGGCAGTCATCTCCATGTGTGCCTGAAATCTGGTAAGACAAGAAAGTGCATGTTATTACGTGTAGATATTTTGGCATTATTTCAGTAAGTGTGCAATCCGTTCTCTTCCTTTCACTGAAGGATCTGATAGGGAAGGCTCAGGTGGTGATACTACACGGACACCAGCTAGCAGCAAATCATCACTACGCACTCAACTTAATTTGCCAGCAATGCAACGAGCTGCGGCACCATTCTGATGTCTTGTCTGATGAGATCAAAAGGAAGCAGATGCGGCTGCAGAAGACCTTGGATCTTCATACGCGCCTTCAGCAGGTAGAGTTCAGAAACACAGTGCCCTGAGAAGTAGGTAGTTAGCTTCTCCGTGGGGTTAGCCTCTCCACTTGTTAGCTGGAAGCATCTGGAATTTGCAGCTTTGCTTCAACAGTTCATGGCAGGAAAGCTCCAGAGGCTGGAGGAGTGCTTCTGCCCTCACTTAGCTGGTTAAGTTAGCAAACAGGTATCTGCTAATGCTGTGAATAGTCAGCAGAAAGAGGTGGGCATCTCCAGGGGACAATTCAGAACACCAAAGTTCAACTGCTGCTGTTGCTTATGCTTTCATGGTGCATCCATGTATTAACTGACTTTTGAGGTTTATCATACCCAGTGCAGTAGAGGTAATGCTTTCAGATAAACTCCAGCCTTTTTTTATTAGTGATTTATTAAAAATGAACATAGCTGACTATAAAATAAGGTGACAGATTGGTAGATAGGCACAGCTGCTGTGTGCTAGCATGGAAGTGGAGTCATGTGGCTCCAACGCTCTTTGATATCTTAATCAGCATCAAAAATTCATTTAGGGAAGTTCATGCTAATTAGGCCAGAAGGCACACGACTGTAATATGCTTGAGGCCATTAAGAGAAGCAGCGAAGTTTGACCCTGTTCCATTTCACTGTTTCAGTGGACTAGGGAACTTGGGGTTTTTTTCTCTGTATGCTCCACTTCAATATTGCATTTATCTGTGGGGACGGACGATTCCTCGGCAGCCTCTCAGCTTCAGCGCAGTGTCCTCTCCTGGGCTCCTTGCAGTCCTGGTTGGTGCTGGTGCTTTAGCCCACGGGCTCTGCTGGAGCACACTGTGGTCCTGCTCTCCACGGCTTTCCTTCCCATTCACAGCACTGGAGGTCCTGTGTCGTTCTTGGCTGCAGCATCTTCTCACGCCTGTGCACACCACAGTGCGTGAGTGCCAACTGAACCACAGCCTGGCGTTCAGCTATTACCTGTGCGTGTTAAATGTACAACTTTAAACTGCAATTTAAAATCCTTATTTTTTTTAAAACATAAATGCAATTACTTTGATCATTTCTTGCAGTTCAGGTTTGCACTGAGTGAGGCATTTATCTCAAGAAACCCGCCTGTCTCGTCGTAAACTCTGTAGTGCCCCCTTCAGCTTTCTGAGTTGGAGACATAGAGATCTGCTTATCATTTGGTTCAACTATGCACTAAATAATGCTTTTGTGTCAGTTATACCACTGGTTTTATCTAGGTACAAGTGGGAGCACATCTTGGCTGGGTATGTTGAGGACTGCAGTCACCCTCCAGAAAAAATGTGGCCTTTCTACTTTCTAATCAAAATGCAATAGCTGCCGAGCTCTTTAGGACTACTAATTATCTCCATGTGGAAAATACAGATCCTGTAAATGATATTCCTCATGGGAACCTTGATTTAGTAGGGGTGCCGCTGATGGTCTCGCTCCCTGTGTTTGCCCCGTGCTGTTACCAGGCTCTGCAGTGCTGTGATGAAGGTGCCTACCTGCTCGCCAACCAGCAGATGGATAAGTGCCAGTCTAAAGAAGGCGCTCAGAAAGCTCTCCAGGACATAGAGAGATTTCTCGAAAGCTCTTCAGCCTACTTAAACTATGATCCCCAAGCCCTACACTACGATTTTGAGTCAGTCTTAACATCTGAATTGAAGGTAAGCAACCCCTCCAGTTCCTTGTTACACGAGTAAAAAGCAAGATCGGACTGTGTTGCAGTGTTGTCAGCTTTATAGTCCTCTGTTTTGGGTCAAAGTGCAAAATAACGGTAGTTATTTGATCACGGAAGCCTTTTTCACTCTCTACAGTGCCAGATACAGTCAGTGCAGGTCAAGCTTGAAAACGTTCGAAGCATGTTTGAGAATCGGCAGTCTTGCTTCAAGAAGCTGTTGGATAAACATGTGCGGCCCGTCCAATTAGTAGCCCCTCGGCCAGAAAATCCACCAAGATCAAAATCACCATTATTCTCTCCTAAACACGGTAAAATATTTTAAGTTTATGCTATTTTCAGATGATAATATTGCTTTGAGGTAGGAAGAGTAAGGCTAAGGATGGTTTTGAGAAACCAATTAGGCCTTGCTGGCTGATACAGGGTTGTTGTATAATGCTAAATGTATGTGAGATGATTTATTATCTTTCCAATTTTTGTGTCTAGATTCCCATACCTGTGTAAAGAATAGGGCTGGTTGCTTGGTATTCATTTTCACTTCCTACTCAGTGAAAAAAGAAAGCTGTAAACAGCACATACTTCCACTTCTGCTTTACTGGCATCCTACTGGGCTGAAAAATAGTGTGTTAGTACTACAGGGAAAAAGGGCAAGGTTTATAAATTTATTAGCATACCTATTCTCCGTGGCAGTCTCCATAACTGTCTCGAGCTGGAACTGACATAAAGTTAGACTGATGTTTGCAAAGGAGCTTGGAGAAACGAGGAGCTCAAATCTCATGAACAGAAATGAGCTGGATGCTTAACTCCCTTTGATTCCTTCAGAATGTCTTCCTTAAATCCCAATTGTGGAATAATTAATGTCCATAAAGGTACAAATTCTGGTTGAACTGAGGTCACTGAATGTTCTGCCTTGATTGTGGCACAATGATCAATGGGATGTGGCACAATGTCAGCTTTAAATAACAACATTAAAACTTTCATCCTTGGCAGCCCTATATGTATCAGAATTAAAAAGTATTCCAAAGTAACGTCATGCATTTTAAACCAGGGACATGCTAAGTTATGTGGGAATATTAAATTCAGTGATCTGACTGTATAAAGCAATTAAACATTTGTGTGTTAACACAAAATTTTTATGATGAATTAACGAATATTGGTTTTGGTGAATTGTAGCAGGTGTCATGCAAACAGCACAAGTGGCTCCAATTCAGGGAGTGACTAATGTAAAAAACCAAGCTATTGGAGGGATGGAAGTGAAGCTAGATGCAGTGAGGGGAACTAAACTGTTCAAGATGCAGGCCAGTGAAGCAAATAAACCCCAAATTTCCTTTTCTCCAGGCTGATGCCACCTTCACTAGATCACACTGCCCTCTGAACCCCTTTCCTCAATCAGGAAAAAAGTTCCAAGTCTTTAAACTAGAGTATTGCCCATTTTACCTAGTGTAACTTTTCGAGCTTTCTAGAAACAGAAAAGCGTTCAGGAGGAATTATTGACTTGAAGAATAGGGGTAAATGGGTGGCCACCTCCGTGGGACATTGTGAGACCAGCATCAATCAGCTGGACTTATTTCATGTCTTTATGGGATGCACGTTTTTCTAGCAAAGGCCCTCAGTCTCCTGCAAAGCACAGGTTTCCTCCATTAATCCTCTTCCTGAAAGAGATGATCAAGTGTGTTGAAATGAGCGGAGCCAGCAAGCGGGGAAAGACAAAAGGCTCCTCTTTGGATAGATCATGCCAAGAGAGCTTTTTAATAAGGCCTCTGTTTGACACAAAACATCAAAATGCTGCAGGCCTGCTGGCGTGATGTGCAGTGTCAAAGACGCATGCTGGGCTCCGCCGGGAGTGCTTTGAGATGGATGGGTTTTATGGCGCGGATTGAAACCAAACCACCTCTGAGCACATTACTTTTGTCCTCTTTTTCTTTCTTTCTTTTGTTTCCCCTCCCTTCTTTTTCTGTCTGAGGACAGACGCTTCCTCTTTCATCTTTGCCCTGGATTTGAAGCCTGTCTGATAAATGTGGTTCTAATTTTGAAACCACTTTTTGGGGGAAAAAAGAGTAAACCTATCCTGTCCTGAGCCGTAAAGCGTAGTGAGATGTGTAGAAGCGATATGGCAGGCTGCAGCGGAGCCCGAGAGCTGGAGTAAAGTCACTCTTGCAACAAAGCACCAAGCTGCAGCTGGTGACCATCTCCCCTTGAACTTCCCATCCGTGTTCCCTTCCTCCCAGTGGGAGTCTCCCAGTAGGACCGCTAGCAAGTCCTCGCTTCTTTTGGGTCTTCCTGTCTGTGATGGGTCACACCCCACGCACGCCTCTGGTCTGCTCTCCAGCATCCCGATCACTCTCCTTCCTCATTCGGCGTGTTTACACACGGAGGTCTAAGGCCTCGTTGGTGTGATAATACGTAATAGCTTTATCTTACAGCAGCCCCATCTGAAGATGGGGCGCCTGCTTTTCACATGGGTTTGCTTTCCTCTGCATCCGTTTTTCTCCCTACATCTGCTTCACAAAAGGTGGCTCTTTCGGTGTCAGAACTGTTCAAACCTTCTATCTAGACACAGCTGCTGTTGCATTCATATGTGCTGTGATACCTTTTTTCACCCTAATGGAAAGATAGTTCATTAGTCCATTTTGTTGTCGGTGGTGGTTTTTTTTTTACTTTGCTAGCCTCTTTTTTCTGTTTGTAAATAAGGTGAATATTGCACAGCAGAATGTGTTTATTTTTGGTCCATCTCAGAATTTGGTGCAGCCGCTGGGGCTGCAGCCTGGCACGTGGAGCTGTTGCCGAGGCTGGCGCCGGTGCGATGCTGAAGAAATTAATTATTGCCATTCATGTTGGGGGGAAAGACCCTTTTGGTGAAGAACTGCCATATTGACTATTCAGGAGTAAGAAGTATTTGAAAGATGCCGTATAACTCGTTGCGGAGATTGATGTTTTATTTTTAAGCTTCCAATTTTCCTCTGTAACCCAAAGTATTACAACTTGTAATTATTTACTGACAATATCAATAAATTCTTCCAAGGTGGAGAAACAGTTTATACCAGCTGAGCATCTTGCCCTACGTTCATAAAAGGACTTTAAAACAGTATCCCAGTAGGTGATGTTCCTTTTGGTAGTTTATTTGATTTTCTTGTTTTCTATCATTTGCACAGGCTTCACAGAGTTTGTTAGGTTTTGATTACAGTATTCACTTAATGGACATTTTGTTTTTTCTGATTACTTTTTACTTTATGGCCTTTATGACCATCTGTGTGACTTGTGTTATTTGGTATTAGTATTGTTGCTTGAAATATCCTTTATTTTGTCAGTTTGCTTGTAGTATTAGCTAACTAATTATTCATTCTTAAAATGTATCCCATTTTTCTTTGTGACTTATTAGTTTCTGTCTGAACCATCTCCTTCACTATAGATGTACATTACGTAATTATGTTTTTTTCTACCCAAGGTGTGGATTTTAATTCCAGTTTGAAATTTTCATTTGATCTCTCTCTCCCTGGGAAGAAAACATCAAGAAAAACTCCAAGTTCTCGCAAGGTAAAAATTATTCATGAAATCTGAATGACTTTTATACACTGAAAAACTGAAACCCTTCTAAAAATTGATTGGACTTACACTTCGGATTTGAAGACGCTCTTTTTTTTTTTTCCCCCTTTAAAAAAAAAACAAACCCTTTCATATCCGTACGGTTTAGTTGGATTGGTCCAGCATCTGAGATCTATCTTGGATTGTTTTTCCAAGTCTCAGATATCGATTTCCTGTGTGTTATTCCCTAAACTTGTTCTTTGCATAACAGTGATGTCTATTAGGAAAACTCCACATCCGCAGATATTTCCCTTGTGGAAACTGTTCTCTGATCTCTGCACTAATGAATTATGTTACCAGTATTTTCAGATTTTATGTAGCAGAGTAATTTCTGGGAATGTTTGGCTACCCGTTATGTGCTATGCCCTTTTAAAGTTTTGTGTCACAAAGGATTTCTTAAAAGGAAGCGTATTTCATCCTTCCCCAAAGAGTTCCCATGCCGACATCAGGGGCTGGGCTCGTCCTGCCTCTGTAGTGACCCCCCTGCGGCTCTTCCCAGTGCATCCCATTTCTCTTCCAGATCGAAGTGATGCACGACTATCAGGAAAAACGGAATTCCTTGCAGTCTTTTATTTCGGACAGTGACGACAACTTAGATATACTAAAAGGGTAAGCTTTCACCCTGTTTACATCACTCAAAATGATCATAGAATCATAGAATCATTAAGGTTGGAAGAGACCTCTAAGATCATCGAGTCCAACCGTCAACCCAACACCACCATGTCCACTAAACCATGTCCCTAAGCGCCTCATCTACGCGTCTTTTAAATACTTCCAGGGATGGTGACTCGACCACTTCCCTGGGCAGCCTGTTCCAATGTTTAACCACTCTTTCAGTAAAGAAATTTTTCCTCACGTCCAATCTAAACCTCCCCTGGCGCAACTTGAGGCCATTTCCTCTTGTCCTATCGC